GTCACTGTCGTGAGACATTCTCGCAAAAAATCACGGTTTTAGTAACGCAGTAATGCAGTGTTCCTACGGGAAAGTAACGGTAATCTAATTACCGTTTTAGCAATAGTAATGCCTTACTTTACACGTTACTTGAAAAAAGTAATCAGATTACAGTAACGCATTACTTGTTACTGGATTGCTCACCAAACGTCAGTCAGGACAAAGTCATGAAACAGAAGCACATAAAGAGAAGTGGTAGAAACTCCATATCTGCAGAAATCTGCTGAGGTTCAAAAATAGTATCTCTCTAATATAACAGACTCAGAGCCACTCCTCTTAAGGCACTGATCGAGTTCTGAGTTTCTGTTCTCTAAAAGCAGTAAGCCTACACTTCCGGTTTAATCTGTCACTGTTTTTTCAGTGACAGTCACACAGTAGTAGTAGTTCGAGTGCAGGTCTGTGTCCATGCACATGCGTATGTGTGAGTGTGTGTGTGTTCCATGTTCAGCTGAGAGAAAGTGTCCCTTAGGCAAAAGTCAGCAATCATCGGTTGACACGGGTGGCCTTGAAGGAGGTCGAGGAGTCACAATAAACAGTCTTGTTATCTAAGGGAGAATTTGTTATTCCTGTTAGCTTTTGCCTTGAGCATCCAGCTGGCACCAGGGGGCCGCTTGAGATGAAGATGGTAGTTGTTTTGGTTAGTGCGAACAAACTGCTTCCAATTTTTACAGCTGGTCTAATGTCCGTCACTGGTCACCAAGTCTCTCAAATCCCATTGTTCTTCTCCAAGATCTTATCCATATAGCGTTCAAAGAAACACAGTCTGAGTACTCACAGCCCTGCCCATCGTCTATCATGTCGGCCAGCCTTGTGGGATTTTGAACAGCTGTAGCCACTTCTTGTTCTTCGATAAGCCGGCTCCAATCAGCCTGAACTCTGTTATCGTGGTTCCGAATTGGTAGATGTCGTTCAAAGTCCTCCAGTGTCCGGCAGCCTCGCCTCTGTCAGTGCGCCCCAGGGTGGCTGTGGCTACAATGTAGCTGCCATCACCAGTGTGTGAATGTGTGCGTGAATGGGTGGATGACTGGATATGTAAAGCGCTTTGGGGTCCTTAGGGACTAGTAAAGCGCTATATAAATACAGGCCATTTATTCCATTGAGAGTGTCGCCAGACACACGACGCAACCGACCATCGAGTATCCGGCAAGAAATGTCTTATGAGTACCATACTGATTTGATATTGGCCCTGTGAGGGTGATTATTGCTGATCTAAAGTCAAATTAGTAACTTACAAATGTGGTTATTAGTAAGTTTGTTATATTTAGATTTTGCGTCTGTTAATAATTTGATTTTTTTTAACATCTTGTATTTTTCTGTATTTTTATTTCATTACGTCATTAATGGCAGATCACATATTAATTATGGTGAAAAACATGTTGACTTCAGGTCTTTGTTTCGTTTACTCGTTTAATACTCAGTATACACATGACGCAAAACAGAATGCGGACAGCTGTGTTAAAAGCTAAAGTGACGGGCACGGACAGTGTAGGCATCCACCCACGAAACCATCACCCGAACAGCCTTAAGGCCCCACACTGCTGCGTGTTCACAGACACTCCATTGTTCCATAACTCCCCTTCCACCTATGATCAGTCTATTGAACGATTTTCCTAAAGGATTGATCACCAAACGTCAGTCCGGACAGAGTCATGAAACAGAAGCACATAAAGAGAAGTGGTAGAAGCTCCATGTCTGCAGAAATCTGCTGG